GGTAGAAGAGGGCACAGAGGGGCTAAATGGTGATAAAAAAATTAAATTAAAAAAGAAAATTATCACACATCTCAGTTGTAACTTCAAACAAACAAATAAAAAAAACAAAAGCAGTTCTACAATTTGAATCTCATCAAGATGGAAGTTATGAAATACTTCATGATTGGGTCAGGCTAGATGTTCCTAATTTTAGCCCTGTAACTCAGAGATGTTTCTTGTTGATGCCCAGAGGTAGGCTAAAAAGGCTTTTAGTGACGCTCTCCAAACCAAGCTGACACCATCACGGTCTCTGTGTCACCACTGAGGGGCCAATGTATACATTTGCTGCTATCAATAGCCACTCACTGAGCATGTCAAGTGGGAACATTCTGTTCAAACACACGAGAACAGAAAATTCCACTGTGTCCAAGACTCAAATAAAAATACCTTACAAAGCTGACAATTAAAATCGATCTTATAGAATATAATTTTGAAAAACCCTAAGCCCAAGGATGCTGTGGCTATCGTGTTGGTCTTCTGCTGGTTAATTTTTATTGAACACTTTGCACAGAGCATGAGAAAAAGAAGATCCAATCTTTAGGTCCTAGAAGCTTATAATCAAGTTTAAGATAAAACATGTACATATAATCAAAAAAGAGGATTTTTCAAAAAGCCATAGAAGAGATAATGCAGATATCAAGAGTTAGCACTGAGTATATGAATGCCAAGGGGATAAAGACTAGAGAGCTGTGCCAGACCAGGGAGGCTGTTTGTATTTGCTTTTTGGCAGATTGAGTTTGTTCTAGTTTTCCTTCTTTCACCAAGGAACTTAAGACTGAATTTAAGACAGCACAGGTCACTGCCTTTGGAACATCTCCATGACACCCCTTCCCTCCCCGACACCAAGATGTCCTTCCTACATATGCCCCACGGCCTCCAACACTGTCTATCCCAGTACCTATCACACTGGATCGTAACTGCCTATTTACTTGTCTGTGTCCCCAAAGGACTATGAAGCTCTCTGAGGGCAAGGACTTTGTATCTCCATTGCCTAGCAAAATGCCCGGCACACAGCAAATACTAAATAAACGTTTGCTGAATAAATGAGGCCATGAAAAGCAAACAGATGACAGGCAGGGTGAGAGCACTCTATCCTGGGAAATACTGCACCAGGAGACAGGAAGGTGAGAATATGCATGTCCGCTGTGGGAGGAGGGCTGGGCAGGGAGGAGGGCAGAGGGCGGAGGGCGGAGGGCAGAGGAAGGCAACCTGCAGATGCCGGATGAATTGACTTGGCTAGAATGGAAAGTCTGAGAAAAGAGATTAGTAGAAAGAGAAAAAGTATAGCTGGTAAAGGGCTAAAAAGGCGAGAATCGTAAAGACGGGTAGGGTGGGCAATAAGGAGTCAACAGTCTGAAGCAAGAGAAGTTATTTGGTTACAGTAATTACAGACAATACCTGAAGGAGGAGGGTGAGACTACACAGAGAGAGGACACTCTGAAAGCCCCAGAGCAGCTCAGACATAAAGGGAAAAACATTGTAAATTCATGGCCATTGAGATGGAAGTAGCAGATCTACACAACACGCGAGAAAACAGGCATTTGGGGATGGGTTGGATATATAGAACCACGAAGAAAACAAGACTTTAAGATGACTCCACAATCTGAAGTCAGAGCTGTAGTCAAAGGGAAATTCAAAAGATGCAACCACGTAAAAGAACAAGGAGGCACTAGTGAGTGCAGTGCTGGCAAGCTGCAAGTGTTTAGCGGACAGAGAGCAAAATGGATTTACTCTGCCCTATACGTCTTTGATGAGAGAAAAAGGAAACAGCCACATGACTGGCTGAGTTCGGTCTCCCAAATTTGTTTCAGAACAGACTAAGGTGTGGGAGTCCTCAAGTCCAGGGGGGCTGAAGGGGTGAGATGGATGCCTTCCCAGGCCCCTTTCCTAGTCAGGAGGACAGAAAAAGATCAACACAATAAACAAACCAAAACTACCAACAGCAACAACAAACTATCTGTCACACACTACAACTGTACACACTTCAAGCCTTAGCCGGGCATGGTATCAGTGTCCTGGACTAGATCAGTTTCTAAAACTAACCAAGAATTCTGTAGCTCCCCATGCCCAGGTATTTGTAGCTTTTGCTCTATTATGCTGGTGATTTTCACACCTAAAACTCAAGTCCTACCAGAAGTTAGGTAAAATAGCCAGGAAGCTATTGAAATAATGAGTATTAAGTTGCCTTTTCAAACCATTATAACAGAAAAACTGGTGTTCAAATATAGGTTCACAACTCACAAGCAAATCCATTAATTTGATTCTAAGGCCAAAAAGGCTTTGGCTCTAATAACCGAAAGTGCTCTAGCTATGCTAATGCACTTACGGGATCTAGGCAACGGTTACTGTTTGCTTTGTTCTATTAGTGCTACTGTTTTTAAACTGTGTCCTATACCCTTTCAGGCAGACTGCACATCTGTTTGGTGAAGACGCTTTTCAGTGAAAAAAATCTTTTTAAAAACTTAAATCTCCAACTGTGATAAAACAGCTAAATATTTTATTGTATAGCCATATGATGGAATACCAGACACAGAGCAAACATCCTGTGGTGAAATACTAACGACCTAAGAAAAGTTCACTAAATAGTTCATCAGGCTTGGCCGGGCGTGGCTCAGAGGTTAAGCGTCGACCTAGGATCCAGGAGATGGCTGTTTGATTCCAGATCAGAGCACATGCTGAGTTGTAGGCTCGATCCCCAGTTGGGGGCGTGCAGGAGGCAGCTGATCAATGACTCTCTCATCATTGATGTTTCTATCTCTCTCTCCCTCTTTCCTCTCTCTGAAATTAATAAAAACATATTTAAAAAAATAAATAAAAAGCCCACACACAAATAAAATAAAAATAAGTACAAAGAAAAACATTTGGAAATTTGTGTATGGAAATATAGCTGTTGAAATAAAGAATCCAGCATGCAGATTGAAGAGCAGTGTGGCTACTGCCAAAGAACGAATTCATGAACTGGAAGATCCGAGGAATTTTTTCAGAAGGCTTCAAGGAGATGGGAAATATAAAAGAGAGATGAGCAAATGAAAGTGTCACTATCTACATACTATCTATTTTCTCTATATAAAGAGAAAAAAATCAACCACAGGAATAACTAATTTATAAAATGATTGAGAACTGTTCTGCATGAAGGAAATGGGGCATTGTACAACCGGACGGGTGTCGTCATAACCATTCTCAATGTCGGAAATCTTTCCTTCCCCAGAGGCAGTGAGCATTTGATATATGTTTGTTGAACTGAAGAACTGCCAATGTTTTCTCTTTTTTTTAATATGCCTTTATCGATTTCAGAGAGAGGAAGGGAGAGGGAGAGAGAATCACTGATCGGCTGCCTCCTGCACACACCCCCAGCTGGGGATGGAGCCCACAAGCTGGGCATGTGGCCTGACCGGGAATCGAACCTCGATCTCCTGGATCCTAGGTCGATGCTCAACTGCTGAGACACGCCAGGCCCAGCTGGGCACCAATGTTTTCTTTAACTTATCTTCCCATTCTTTCTGCCTCAGGCTCAATCCAAAGCCTCATTCCCTTGACCTAATGCTTATTAGATCACTAGGACCGCTGCTACATTCTCCCTAGCGAGTGAGGGTTCCGCTCAACTAGACCAGTGGTTGGCCTTTTTCTGTAAAGTTTCAGGTTTAAGTGCCACAATGGTGTGTAAGCAGCCACTAACAATCCATAAACATATGTGGCTGTATTCCAACAAAACATTATTTACAAAAACAGGTGTATGTTGGGGGGTGTTCAAATTTGGTCCTAGGGCCATAGTTGGCTGAGTTTTAAAGTAGACTGACAAGTTTTCTCAAACCAAAACTTTTCTTATCCCTTCTAATTCAATATAGAATCCAATTATCTGGGTAAAAGAAAATCTAATTTATTTTCTTTTTTACATACAATACTGGCTGCCAGCTAGGAATTAAAATTAATTACTTAAGTATGCTACTCATTACTTTCAAAACCTTATTTTCCCTTTAAATTTACGAACCTTATAAGAATAATTTACTGGAAATTACATCAATAGTACTGTAAAGGCTTTGATGTAAGCAGGACAAATAGGAAGAGTTGGCAGCCAAGTAATCTTTCTGTCTTTCATGGAGGAACAGATCAGGAATGATAGAAGCTGCCAATAAAAAAATTTGATTCAATGAAGCAGATTAAGATGACATTGATGGGCTTTTGATTTCAGTAAGCGGGAAGGCCCAGAATTCTGCTAGCTACAGGCAAAAATTACAACTTGTCCCCTCTAGACCTTGAGATGAAACTTGATTATAAAAGACAGTATTAAAAAAAAACAATGCAGAGGGGCAGCTCAGGAGCATCCTATTATTCCAGACGTACAGCAGCCATTCTTTTTCCCATATTAAAATGAGATAGGGACTTGCCCAAGTTATCTAACCATCCATCCATCCATCCATCCATCCATCCATCCATCCATCCACTCGCTATTTAGTAATATTCCCTGCCCTCCTTCACAAACATGAAAAGAACCAGGATTTATAAAATGAAAAATAAATTCTTTACAAACACCTAAAATGGAATAAATAATACATTTATAACAATGTTTATGTACTTAGCTTCTTGCCAAAATGACTGTTGATGATCAACTTAAAATCTTCTGGTCTGGCCGGGTGTGGCTCAGCGGTTGAGCATCAACCTAGGATCCAGGAGATCGAGGTTTGATTCCTGGTCAGGGCACATGCCCGGGTTGCTGGCTTGATCTCCAGTCAGGGGCGTGCAGGAGGCAGCCGATCAATAACTACTCTCTCATCACTGCTGTTTCTCTCTCTCTCTCTCTCTCTCTCTCTCTCTCCTCCTTTCCCTTCCTCTCTCTGAAATCAATAAAGATATATTAAAAAATAAATAAATTAAAAAAAATTTCCAATAGCTTCCCTCTACACATTAAAATAAAACCCAAATTTCTCATCATGGCGCACCAGGTCCTACATGACCTGGCCCCTGCTAATCTCTTGGACATCTCCGCTGACCACACCTAGTATACTGCAATCACAGTGGTCTTCTCTGCTGCAAACATGCCCAGCTGTTCCTGCTTCAGGGGCCCGCCACCTCCCACGTCTCTGTAATACTTTGCCCTCACAGTTTTACATGGCTCATTTCTTCAGGTCATAGTTCCAACGAGATCTCCCCCAGAAGCTTTCTCTGACCATGCAATTAAACTAGTCTCTATCACTCTACACATAACCTTACTTTCCTGTTTTCAGTATTTATATCATAATCTGAAATTACTTTGCTCATTTATTTTCTGCACACCATCCTCTCTCCATACATCAACTGAACCTAGATCCACGAGCACGGACTTGGCCTGTGGGTCGTCACTGATTCTCTCACACCTAGAGGAGTGCTCGACACATAGTAGGCCCTTAGTGAATATTAAGTAATTAATATCTGCTGAGTAAACAAGTGTCCATCTCTCTTCTACATCAGGCTATGATTATTAAAAATGTTGGGAAGTCTCAGAATCCTAGAGGTGACCCTAGAGACAGCAGGATCTTACAGAGGAACTTGGGATTCTAAATGCGGGACATGAATAATCTAACTGATAAAGCCTATCTGTAGAACATAAAGTTTCAGTTCAGCAGGATGAGTAGGCTCTAGAGATCTGCTATACAACACTATCTATGGTCAACGTATTATACAGTTAAAAATTTAAGAGGGTAGATTTCATGTTAAGCGTTCTTACTACAATTAAAGAAAAGTGTCTACAGAAACCAAAATTAGGAAGATTAAAAAACTGCTGATGATACACTGGATATATTCTGAATTTGGGTTAAATAACCAAAAAGCTGAATTGTTAAATGAGAATTCAGTTACCTGTGGGTGTGTGGTAAGCAAGGAAGATCCAGAGACGTAAGATACTTTCTCATAATGGGACTGAATAATCCAGTTGGAGCTTCCAAGGGCATAGCCAGAGCTTAGAGGGGTCACCTGGACAGCACCAAAAAGCTCCTGGAAAAGAAACACAGTAAAAATGAATGATGAGCTTTCAGCAATGCAGTCATGCCAGTAAGTCTGAAGGAGAAAACAACGGGAATTTCGTTCTCCACTTAGAAACTGTTTCAAAGTAAACCAGAAAGTTTGAAGTAAAACAGAAAAATGGTAGAGACCATGTGACAGACATTGAGAGCAATTCTAGTTTTCACTTGTCACCTCTCTGAGAGTTTCAGCTCATCCACATGTCACCAGGCACCCAGGCCTCACTCATTAAAAGGCAGAGATGATATATCAGCAAATAACCAAAGAGACAAACACTTTAGTTTTCTTTTTTCTTTTCTTTCCAGGTTAGGTGTTATTCTCATGGTTGTTCTGTACTGAGTGGCTCCAGGCACAAGTTGATAGAAATGGGAACCTTATCATTATCAGGTCAGACCTTAAAAGTTACACTTGCCAAACTGCTTCTTGATCTATTTTATGCTCTCCGTCTCCTATTTCACTTGTCCAAAATCTGTAAAACAGCATCTACTGTTCCAAAGTGAACAGAATGAGATGCCTTTCTCTTGACATATTACATGCCGGCTAATCAAATGCTGGCCAGTGATGTGGAATGTAAGGGTTAGCAAAGAGCGCCAGGAAGAACCTGGGAGCAATGGAGGAAAGTGACACTCTGTTCTGTCTTCAGCGTGTACTAGTACAGGATTCTTAGTGATCAAATGGCTTATAAAAGGGAACTACAGGATCCTACCAAAAACAACTGTATGAATCAAAAGCATTCGTTAATCACTGAAAATCATCAACACTCACAATTTTCTGAGAATATCCCACCAGCTGGATTTTACTAAGGGCAGAGTTCACCTCTTGCAATGTATAGCATCTTCTCCAGGTTGATACTTCCACTGCGTCCTTGAGAGGAGATGGCAGCAGCCTGTGAATGCATCACAATGTCGATTCTTTTAAATTTTACTTACTGATTTAGAGAGAGGAAGGAAGGGGGGAGGGAGGAAGGAAGGGGGGAGGGAGGAAAGGAGGGAGAGGA